TCTTTCTTTCTTTCTTTCTTTCTTTCTTTCTTTCTTTCTTTCTTTCTTTCTTTCTTTCTTTCTTTCTTTCTTCCTTCCTTTTTTCCTTCCTTTTCTTTCTTGTTTTTTTGATGGGAAGATTTCTGAAAGAGGAGACCTGAGGACCTTTGACTTTGAGGTCTAGATTCATAACTCCTGTTAAACCAGCAGAGGGAAATTGTGGCTGTAGATACTTTTGCTCAACTTCAACTGGTTCATCAGTTACCTGCAGCAGAGGATCTGGTTGTAGTGCCTCATGCTTTTGTCTTTTTACAAGACTGGACTACTACGATATGCTATACAGTGGTATTGCTATTCAACTGCTTCAAAACTCTTTGAATTTGGTAGTACTTGATGCATTTTGATGTGAAAATATTGTCCTGGTATTCACATTTGTTTGTTACTCAATGTGCTGCAAAAGGAAGATAGCCACAGAGGGCAGACAGGAAGTTGGTCATGATGAGGAAAGGACATGGGGTGGTGGGGACAGCTGCAGAAGGCAGAGAAGAAGCAGGCCATGCTGGGAAAGTCATGACATAGGAAAAGGAACACATAGGAAGTCCTTTCCAGCTGAAACAAAGGATCATGATAAGTCAGATGGTTTGGTACTCATTTTTTTTACTACAGGTCATGCCTCCCAGAACCAATTAAGGACAAATACAGAGGTGCTACTGTATATGGGGCTGCCTATGCAATTTGTGCCTTCAAGTCAATCTTGGCCCCTGGCAACAAGTCCATACTGCCAAGATGCTTCAGAAATGGTTTGCTGTTGCCTTCTTCCTGGGGTTGAGAGAGAGTGACTATCCCAAGGTCACCTAGCAGGCTTTGTGCTTAAGATGGGGCTAGAGTTCATAGTCCTCTGGTTTTTAGCTTGGTGTTTGAACCTCTACATCAAACTGGCTCTCAGATTCAGTTAAGATCCTTAAATTTAAAGATTATCAGAAAACAACAATTGATTCAGAAGGTAGCACATGTATCACAACTGTATTTTGATTTCTATTTTTATCATCAGGTACATTTTAATGTTCTGGTTTTAAATGTTCCAAGCCCTTGTAGGTTGGCATCTAGTCATATCCTGGAACGTGTTTCCCAGCTCGAACTGTCCTGACCAACAAGATCATGTGGACAAAACCTACTGTTTCTCACTTGTAAGAAGTTGTGGGGCTACTACCAGGACACACTGCTTTTGGTTGTAACCTCAGGCTACTGGAATAGCTTTCCCATAGACATCACCTTCATCTCCCTGTCAATATTCAACAACCACTAAGAGATCTATGGAAATTTTCCGTAAAGCTTTTCCTTAGAATATGAATTACAACTTATGTTTTGTTCTCATTTCATGTCTTAAATGTTTTGAATATTTTTAAACCACCATGGAAGTTTTAAGGCTCCATTTCACTGTCAACTTCAGCAACATAAGATATATGGTGTTCATTTCCTAAAATTTCCCGGCATACTTGTTGAGGTTGAGAAACGGTGTTATATTTGTTATTCCTGTGACCATGAATGTTTTATACTTTTGCTGTAAAACATGATAAATCCCTTTGTTGAGATTGGCAACATACAAGTTTAATAATATAGTAAGTAAGTAAGTAAGTAAGTAAGTAAGTAAGTAAGTAAGTAAG